TGTAGGCTATAGCGCAGCAGCGTAACTATTAATCTTATCTGCGACCTATATTGCCATCCCGCTCCTTGGCGTCGCCTGGAGCCCAGGTCTACAATAGCTCGGAATTTGCGAACCTTCCCTGACGCCAAAGATGGAGGAAGCTGACGAGAGGGACAAGGCAGCGTTCAGACTTCCGCGACGGCAGCGCTTCGGTCGCGCGATTCGACGATCGATGCGCATGCTTTCGACTGCATCGATCGCGTCGAACGCGCGACCGAAGCGCTGCCGTCGCGAAGTCTGAACGCTGCCTAAGGATGGACACAGTCAGAAGAACAGCCAACCTCTGTATCTCAGAGCTGGGTAGGGCGTGGCAGCTCAGCCTTTGAACACGGCAATAACCAGCCAAACGCGACAGTATCCCACCAAAAGTGCAACCGTCGTCACGTTCAAATAACGTTTGCAGCCACGCCCTTCCCATCTCCGCGATACGGAAGGCATGTAAGGCAGTTGCGATAAAAGGTTAGAAAGAGATAGAAGAAGTTGTATGAGAAGGAATACAATAATGAGCATAAAAGTGAGAAAATGTAGGAGAGTGATAGAGATGAGTGAGATGAGATGTTGAGATGAGTGGGATTGAGAAGAGATAGAAGCCGAAAAAAGCCGAAAAGAAAAAAAATCTGGGCTAGGCTTTGTAAACCCACCTTTTTAATTGCTTGTGTTGCTTCAACCAAGTGATAGTGAGGTATTTTGGTGAAAAAGAAGTGATGAGCAACGTGACCTGAATTCCCGAAATTAAAATAATCAAACTGGACGCTCACATTTTTGGGGACATTTGTAGGACCCCTCCTACGTGACCAGTACCATCCGAATAAAAAAAGGTACCGCCCTCTAGGCTTAAACAAATTTTTTCATCTCCACTAGGGGGATCTTTTGCGAAAGTCTTTCGAATGCCCCCATTCCCGTGGTTATTAACGATCATATACGCATTCAATGAATTTTCCTTTTTGTGACTTCGCACAACTATTTTTGTAAATTTCCCCCTTTCATGCGTGACTCAAATATCAGCCAGGTCGCCGAGCCGTTCCTCACAACCTTTTGACATCGAGCGAGTGTTCCAAAAAAAACTGCCATGTGAAAAAGAGGTTTATGTAGAATTCTGTGGTTAACCTACCCCGGAGTAAGCCATGCACTCAACTTTCACTCACGGTTATGCTGCTTTTGTATGCATCCTCGACCCCTGCAAAGTTCAGGAACCTCCAAACCAAAGAATGATACTACACAAAAGTTTTTTCTTATGGACTTGCCCAGAACAGACTATTATCAACCCAAAAAAGAGGGGCTTGGTTTTCCTGATCAGGAGAGGTTTTTCTTTCCACGAACAGTCACTGTCCACGTAGCCCAAATAATAAGTACTTGAACAGAAATCCTACCTTATTTGAGGTCCAATTATTATTTAGTATGATCCCCGCCACTATAGCTCGTTGTATGGGAGCGGCTGGGACTGTAAGACGCGACTTGACGCTCCCCCCCCCCACTTGCATTACTGACTGCGGAAAAAAGGGGGGCATATCAATGAAGAAGGAACAACTGTAGGTCTAAGACCGTCCAAGCGAACAGCGTAGGATGTTCTTTTGACAGTAGAATGTAACCCCATTGTTTCATACAGAAGTTCTATTTCTAATAGCATTCTGAGAGGTCTGGTGTTCCCTGAAATCCCTTTAAAGCGCATCGGAAATTCTACAGAGGCGTTCTTTGACATTTCTTCGTATCAAGCCACATCCTTGACTTCGCCGAATTGTGGTGGGTACAAAGTCCAGCAGGGTTTACGAAATTTTGATGGGTACAAAGTCCAGCTGGGTTTACAATTTCGCGCTGGTCATAATACCGCTCCAAAACACCCTCTAAAGCGTCTCCGCTAAGTATTTCCACTAGTACGAGTACAAATAAAAGAGAAAGAGGCCTGAAAAATCGGCCACAGATAGCGTGAGGTCAAAATTATGGCTTGGTAATAGCACACACCTATGGGCCGGCACCCAACCGAGCGATTGATAACACATTTCACGCTCGTCGCAGGAGCAGAAGAGAGTCTACTATTGGTATTTTTCTCATTGCCGCTTCTCTCCCTATTGGAGAGGAGGGGCCCATTGATGGGAAAACAAAGACACACGCTGCTCCTTCCCATACTTCCAAAAGTAGACTGCGCTCCTGGAAGCCGTCCTTCTCACTAAGGCTGGCCGTAAGGAGAAAAACACCAAATGGGAAAATAAGTGAAAAGTGAGAACCTATTCAGCATTCTTCTGCACAGTCGCTGAATTAGAAACCAGTAGAGCCCTAAGGAACCTTTGGAGAGGCATTCAATAGGCGCCTTTTTACAGTGATTTCGATAGTTAGGGATTCACTACCGACATGCAATTGAAATGTCCGTGGCCTACTTGCAAGTTTCCTATGTCGTATTTTCTCGGTGTCGGGTGGTTAAAGGGGTTCGTGTGGGCTGTTGGCGCTCGGCCATTGTTCGACAAAACTGTTGCCCTCTTCAGTTAACTGATGGAGAAGGGGCTGGGTGGGGGCCGCAGGACCTAACCCAGCCCAACTGATACGGCTCAGCATACACGGTCGCAGAACGAGGTGAAATTCAACGGTAACTGTAACTCTCCTTCCTCTCCCAACACCCCCCCTCCCCCCCCCCCCTTCAGGCTCAGAAAAACGTCTTCATCTCCATTTCAATAATACGACTTTTTCACAAGGAAGTCCTTCATATGCCCCTTCGCTTATGAAGGTCAATTCAAACAGAAAGCGCTAGGAAAAGTTGATCGAGCTTGAACAGCTCATTCATTTTCATATGAATGCTGAGTGATGGGCAAAAGTCAGACTTCAAGCGGAACTCGAACCCGCACCTGCGGTTGACTGAGCTAGTGCGCTATCTATACGCCATAGCCGTTTTTACCCTATCAGCTCGATGGGTTCCTTTATTCGTTCTCCCTTTCACTCATAGAAGCTTCCCCAGCACCTTTTATTATTTTTCCTTCCTTCTACTTCCTTCTGTTTTTTTATTATAAAAAATACCACTTTCAAAACCTAACCATCGGTGATGTGATGCATGATGGTATCGAGTCCAAAACCATAAACCCTATCAATGGTTTGAGTTTGACCACGGACAAATGACCACTCGTCGGGCTCGTAAACCTGAAACAACGAGAGTCCTGAATCTCGGCGCGGTCGCATCGTTCTCCTCACATTCCAAGCAATCATCATCGTCTTTTCCACAACAAACAAACGCCACCACCACTTCACATCATTAAGATTTCAACTCAGATAACGCTCTCTTTCTCACCTCAATTTCCTCGTTCTGATGCTGTAAATAGGTGATGATCACTAGGATTAGGCCTTGGAAGGTCAACGGTATGTAGTAGTACTTCATCCATTTGTAGACCGAATAGTCACACATCCAGAAGACCACCTGAAATGGCCATTTCAACGATTCTTGGCATTTCCTTCAATAAATTCTTCAATCTACGTACAGAAGCGCAGAATAAGCAAGCCAATCCAGAAACGACGCATTTAATGCGGTCAGTGTTGCTGGTGAAAAGACGAGACCATGGCCAGAAATGGGATCCATCTGGGAGACCGAAGACCGTATAGATGGGATTCCACCTGAAACAGAAGCAAACATGTTTCTCAGATGATGAATTGGCCGGTAGTCGGAACGGACCGGTGCCGTTTGCGCCAGGTGTTAAGCTACCGGCTTCTCAACGACGGATAATCTTTTGAACGTCAAACAAACGCTAAGCACTTGTCACGACTAAGCGCATAAACGCTGGGCAGCATTGCAGTCAAGCTCGGTGATTAGACCAAAGGCTGCGCAAGCCTGCCTTGCTCCAGTGTCCTGGGGGACTTTCTAATGCAGAGAAAGACTGTGCCTTCTCTAAAGTAGTAATAAAACCTTGAAATGGAGGAGAAAAGGGGTCATAAAAGGTCCAAGTTACCACCAAACGGAGGCGCCATTTTACCTGTACTAGCGCTCCCCATGGTACTGTCGGATCAGAAAGAAGAGAAGCACCGAAAGTATGATGGCCTTACTTCATCCATACCATTAGAGAGGGACAATTTCGAACCATTGGAAGCTTTGCAGGAGTTTACAGGAGTTCACAAAATTGCCCAATGTGCTGACAAGAGTTTTGTAAATGTCGCACTAAGGACTCCCCTCCTCCGCTCCCGAGAGACGGACAAGAGAATCGTAACTTGCTCCGCCGTCGCGCGCGGCGCACCGTCTGGCGATGAGCGCGGGAAATTCAAACAGCGCGGCAGTTTCTCGACTGAAGCAGCGGGAATAGTGGGAATCGTTGCATGCTTCTTTTATTTTTTCCGCATAAATTTCACGAGTTTTTGGCCATTTCCTATACCTTCTATCGCTGTCTTGGCTGACGATATGGAGCCAGAAGAGCTTCAGTAGCACCCTTTTCCGTCCCTCTAGTAATTCAAATGGCTAGGCAGGAGAGCTCGACTCTCGCGGGGCGCGGGCGCTCGCCATGCCTGCGAGCACGGCAAATTACGATTCTCTTGTCATACACTCCCCCCCCGGCCCCCTCTCAGGTAGCGGACCTGCGCTCAGTAGAGAGGCTTCTTTCTAAGACATACAGACTTGTTAACGTCTAGAAATACCTGATCCATCCAGATAACGGGAAGCAGGCGAAATACTTCTCGAATGTGGATTTGTTCTTTGAATTTTACCTCGGTTACCATGGGTGAGCCTTTGTCTTTCTACGTGTGCCGTATACTGAAACAGGTGCTTTCGGAAGCGATTGTAACAAGTTTTTACTGACTGCCAGTTCCGATGAGCCTGATCAAGAACTGACGTACCTGATGATGTTGCCGATGACTTTTTTGCCAAGGCCAAAATGGCGCCAGGATGGGTGCATGGGCAATATGTCCGCACAGATCGTTCACCCATTCATATTCAGAAAATGAGCCATGGCCGCAATCATGGCCGACCACAAACAGTGCACAGCCGCAAAAGCCAAATGCCCAACACCTAAACGAAAGAAGCAGTTTAGCCAGACAGAGACAGACATACTTCTATAGGAAACAAAGGTTAAGCAACCAAAAACGTAAACAATTTGAGTCTAGGACTGTACTAAGGCGCTAATCCTAAGGCGTCCTTGAGGAAGAGGGGGGCGGGTGCAATTTTCTTGTTCATTGTTTCTTTACTAGTGCCCGTCTAATCCGCCGTCTCAGCTTGCTGAGACCTGGAAACACTTGAGGTGTGAAGGGACGTTGTGCTATTGCACAGCTTTAAGGGTCAACAGGTGTACCAAAGGGGCAACGCCAGTGATCGATAGTAAGCAAAATGCCCCCCAGCAAGCTAACTTGCGGCCGGAAAAAAACAATTTCCTTTTTTTTTCCCCTGAATTGGCGGGTGTTAGAGGCGAGAAATGAAGTAATGGCCGTGAAAGTGCAAGCAAAATGCTGAAAATGCCCCGGCCTGCAATTGGGAACTCTCGCCCTGAGGGTCTTACCAAAGCCATAGTATTCTTTTACGGTCTTCTTCGCTGCGGATACACGGGCGTGTCAGGTGGCCTGAGTCTGAACGCGGGCGTCAGCTTATTCTCCCACCAAATATGCCGCTACTCTCTCTACAGCTGGTTGAGAACCGGCTCCAAAGCAAGCTCTGCGCCCTCTCGCGCGTCCCGCCTCCCCTACCGGAGGGCAGCATCTCGCAGCATCAGACAGCGAAGGCTAGACAGTAGCATCCGCAATAGCAAGCGCTAAAGCCAATCCAAGGGGCAGGATTCAAGGTAGGAGAATCGCCAAGAACCGAACTCAAGTTGGCCACCGCCACTATCATCTTGTCTTCCGGATAATAGGTCGCATAGAACCGCGCGTGTTGTTATGTTTTTGGAGCCCACTGATCTATTTGGAAAATGAATACTGTAACATGAGGGCCAGGACCACCTTTTCCAGCTAGGCTACATCTACAAAGGTTTTTGCTACTTGTTTGCGGTGGATGCTGTGCGTGTAAGAGGCCGGGTTTTGGCGGCAGCGCTACAGCACTTTCGAACACGCATGTGTTTGCCAGCTTGCCTCTCCTTCGATTGGTGGAGAAGAGGCTGGGGCGCCGCGTTAGACCCAGCTCTCCTGATAAGCCCCAGCGTCCGTAGCGCAACAGACTACAGCTTGACGCTTCTCTGTCCTAATAGTAAGCTAACAGCGGCAGCATTCGGGACATATCAGAAAAAGCTTAAAGACTGACAACAGGCTTTTCAACGGGTGTGCGCAGAAGACTCATAAAAATGTGCCTTCGGCACAGCTAGGTGAGTCGCGTACTAGAAGAAGCGCACCCAGGACGAAGGGCACAGTGGGGCTTAAGTTCCGCCCATAACGGCCTATCGCCGAATCGCCTTTGAATATGCCAAAATGCAGGTCACCTGAGCAATAATTGGCAACACTTACCATGCTAAGTAACCAAGTGTACCGAAGTATCGTTCTACGTGAGGTAGAATTACATACAAGCCCACGAGTACAATCAAGTCCTAAATCAGCTTGCATAAGGATACTCTACGAGATACAAGTACGTCGGCAAGAAAAAGTGGTAACCTCTTCTAACTCACCCAGACAAGGTAGCTGACCGATTTCAGGAGGTTCTTCTCGAAACAATGCGGGGGAATCGCTTTCCGTACCTCATCGACTGTAGGAAGCTTCGGTGGAGGCTGGAAACGTATAGAATTGGATTGGAGATGAATGCACTGTTATTGGTTTTCAAGTCTTCAGGGATATGCTAGTGATGATATGAGATAGCAGAGCAAGATGAATATAATAATCTGTTTTTATTTATTCATTTATTTATTTATGTATTTGTTCAACTTTGTATTGAGTATATTTGTAATCGCCATGATTCACAGAACACATATTTCATTCAATATATCTCTTTCCTTAAAGGCACATTCCGCGAAAAAATAAGGCTATGACCTCTCAAATGTGTCGGACGATCCGGAAGACGATTTTTGAGGCTGCGTTACTTTCAAAATGTGAAAAACGGCAAAGAATCCAGCTAAGAACTAGCTAATTAGGCCCATGGACACCCCTTAGGCCCATGCCGACCCTCACCGGCTGCTAGCTACTAGCTAGTAGCCACTATGTTATCTTTCTCTATAACATTTCGGACTGCTTTTACTGCTGCTTTTCTCCGCTAATCAGATACTTAGCACTTTTTTGTGCCTATTTGAGTTCCGTTTCCCGCAATTTGCGGTCGCGAACTGTGCCCTTTAAGAACCAGATAAGCAAATTCCGAGCACCGAATAAGAAGCACCAAACGTGAAAAGTGGTCGCAATTCTGCCCTACCGAGGGCTTGCGGACCAAGCAATACCGAATAAAGAAAGATAAATTCGGCAGGAAATCACAGAGCAGGAATATTTTGTTTGAGGACAATGATATGTGGGGGCAGTCTAGTGTGCTTGCCGCGTAGCGTCCTCTCTCACCGGAATGTATGGGCCGCAGGTTTTTCTTTATTTCAAGAAAACTTTCTTCAAAGGACTGAACATGTGGCTAGCACCTATCTGTGCTCGCTCACTCACTGCTGACTGCTAAAACTGACCGACACAACGCATGCCTTATCACACTAAATGTGCCTTTCTATTACAAGGAATTATTCTTCGGGAAAACGTTATAATTAGGCGTGTTCCCGCATACTGTGCGGATGCGATTGCTAGGGTGTGTTGGGAGCAGGCTTTGGGGGAGGGGCGGGTCTACGGACAACTTGAACTCAATTCCTTTGAACGCGTCTAATTTGTGTTATTCCTGGCAGCACCTCTCTTCACCGTCCGCACGGCACTTTAATGGTAACGTCATTGTGACTCCGCACATCTCAGCTTTTCACATACGGTAAGGGGCTCACCCACCCCGGAGTCCCCTCCCTTTGAAAAAGCTCATTCCTTGGGTCGCTATAATTCTTGAACTCCTTGAGGCCTTGGCAGGCGTTCCCCTCTATCTGTCTGCGTCTCTTAATTTCGCAACAGGACCATACGCAAAAGTTCAGGATGTCACGTAGCCCTTTTGGGCGGCGCTAGCCTGCTCTTAAAATTATGGTCACCCAGCACCCTCTACAAAACAAAAAAAAACAAAATTTTGGTGGGAAACAAGTGACACTACACCAAACCCAGCCCCTGTAACCCCTCGATGTGAAGCAAGATAAAGATAGTCAGGGCGCTGTTTATCGACGGGGGGGGGGGGGGCATTCTGCTTTTCATAGATTTGCCAACCCATCTAGGTACCCTTTTTTCGAGTTGACACGTTTTAGGATGGTGGCTAGACGATCTTGCTCCAGCTTCACAAGCGTTCACAAGTTTTACCAGAGTGAGATTTGTAAAAACCAGGGAAGCAATTATAATACAAAATGCCCCCCCCCCGTCGATAAACAGCGCCGATAGTCGACGTCTTCTCTATAGATTTCATAAGTACAGGTACTCTTTCGTGACTTCCTGCAACTGTTTTTTTTTTCGTTTTCGGGGACTTCCTAGTTTGTCATGTAGAACTATTGGAGGAAGACGCCTCGGCTAGTCTGGTGGTGGTTCGGAGTATTTATCTATGACCAGGGCGCGATTTAAGTCGAAGCTGAAAAGACGGAATTATCTTACTCCTCGGCCCATGTAAGTTTTCCCGGTTCCTTAACCCAGCCTGTCACAAGTCGGCAGAACCCACCTAAGTGGCGGCCTAACAGACCACCCTTGAGGATATATCACGCTGATGCGATACTGGAGCGTGCACGGTCGCATATATAATAGAACGCATTGGATGAGTGTGAAGCTGAAAGGAAATTGTCCCTACAGTCAATGCCGACAATGTTCCGTATCTATTTCAGGCATTGACGCAAATCACGTGCCTCGAGTCCAAAGGTCAAATGATAGTATTGTCTGCAAAGGTTGAGCGGGATCAGGCCGCACTGTTGTTTTGCTCTGAGGGACTAGTAACTCGCGTAGACTTATGGAACGGCACCGAAGTATGAGACATTTAATCGTCAGTCAAACCTATCTACTCTCGTTTTCTCTGATGCGCCTCTAAGGACTCGATCCTGACGATTAAGCTCAATACTATGAGCAAACTCGTCTACATCCACGACCGGTCGTCGCATACGATAAAAGCATTTGAACGCGCTCTAGCAGTGGTTTGCGAGTGATGATGTCACCATCCCTCATGCGCATCAATATAGAGACTCGAGCGGAGAAAAAGTTAAGCTGTACACCATAACACTCACGCAATAGTCTGTACTTGGATACGTGACATAAAGTGGGCCTAAGGAACGTTCCTAAGAAGAATTTTTGCGGCAAAATCGGACGAGCACGACACACTAGAGACAAAATATTTTTCAGTTGTGCCTACGTGCTAGAAGCAGCCCCTCACGCATGCACAAGCCAGTACCTGTACATTCTACCTATACCGAATATTCCGCTAATTATAAAAGCCGCAGCAAGACGTTGCAAAAAGCACGGATGTACCGAGAAAGGTGGTGCTTGCACATAATCAGAAATTAAACGGGAGAAATATCCGCATGCCATTTTTCTTGTAGTCTAATCTAGCGATTTACCTACGCTTCCTGCGCCCCCGATCGAGCCCCGCCGAAAGCCGGGCGGCGCGGGGCCCCCTTCCTCCCCTAATACTGAATGGGGTCTAATGACTAGAGAATTTTAGGTAGCAAACACATGTACCCCGCTCTCCTCTCTCTGCCAGCTACAGATCAATCACGACCTTTAGTCGCTATGCAATGGCATACAAACTCTCCAACGGTGATATGAATAGTAGTACACTGAACACAGCGTATAGATAGAAAAACAGCTTGAAAGAAAGCTATTCATGCTTCGAGCTTATACGGTCCATTTCACCTCACCACGACGCAAACACTCGCACTACGCCTAAGACGACGCGAGA